TTTCTGGTTTTTGTGTGTGAAGCAATTGAGTGAGGTGGAACAGTTGTCGAAAAGAGGAAGCGCTGTGATTGAGGTTGGTGTTCTGCGGCGACTAACGTATCAGGGCGACCGAATTGGAAGACACCATCCGAGCAAGGGGACCCAGCTCGTCGCCGACAATACACGGGAAACGAATCGTAGTTCTTCCGGCCTCGACGATCCTGGGCGACGACCTTCGGACAATCAGGCCCGAATTGTAAGGCGAAGCTGTCTGCAGCAGTGTTCGTCCGAGTAAGTCCATCTAGATGTAATAATATTTGCGTGCGGAAGACTGCGCAGGCTACGCGCCACCCGAAATTGTATCGTCCATCTCTCTCTCACGCGTACGTTTGAGTAGGCCGTGCATCGCGAATCTCTCGGTCAACGTGGGACGTACGCTATTATGGAAACAAATAACGAATAAAACCCGCTGCGATTGCCTTGAATAAGCCGGTGAATTCATTTGATAATACCAGATTTTCTCTACGTTCCCTTCTCCTTCGCAACGTTTTCTGAGAACCTACAACCATCGCTCTTCTTTGTTGTATCGTGCTTTCGCGCTCGTTTTCAGGCTGCGCGTCCAGCACAGAGCTAGCCAAAAGAGGGAAATAGCGGTGACAGAAATTTTGTTAACGGACGGAGATTCATCTACGAAGAAATCAACAACCGTTACAATCTATATATTTTTGAAACTCTATTTTCTACTATCAACAAATCAATTGAAATTTAGCAGAATAATTATTACGTTATTGATTATCAATTTATGACGTATCATTTCCTAATTACAATGTAATTTATAAAATATGATGTATCTTATCTAATTATTTTTATGTTTATTAAAAATAAATATTTATTTTTTATATAAATTCATTTCAAAATTACATGGCCTTTCATGTCGATATCTCAGAAATCCTCTTGGATTTTTATACAACATGGATAAGGAGAGAAATACATATGGTCTATAGTAGAAATCTATCTGGATTGTACATGAAATCCACCTAGAAATCCATTATGGAAATCTACATAAAATCTATACGAAAGCCATATGGAATCCATATATTAATCTGTATGGAAATCCACCTGCATATTGATATGGAATTAGCGGATCCAGGCTAGACTAGACGTGATTTGGCGAAAAATCCACCTGGAAATTTACCTGGAAATTCACCTGGATTAGGCGAGAAATCCACCTGGAAATCCACCTGCAATCTAGCTGGAAATCCACCTGGAAATCCATCTGGATTCGGCGAGAAGTCCACCTGGAAATCCACCTGCAATCTAGCTGGAAATCCACCTGGATTCGGCGAGAAATCCACCTGGAAATCCATCATGGAAATCCAGATAAAATCCAGCTGAAATCCATATGGAATCCAGTTAAAATCTATATGGAATCTATATGGATTTCCACTTGGATTTCTATTATGGATTTCCAGCTGGATTTTTTCAACAGGGCAATACATAAAGGTAAGTAAAAAATCAAAACTTTCAAGTTCGAACATTTTTTATTCCAATTGACTCCAAAATGTAGGAAAAAAATTTTTCGAAATAAATCAGAGAAAATTTAAGTTAATTCTACGCTACATATCACACATTTTTTCCAAGTAAAATTTTTCTTTACAAGTGGATGGTACCAAAATAATAATTCTTGAAAAAAAGTGTTTTTTTTTCTTTCAAACATCTGTAACTTTTAAGCTAATCATGAAAAAACATCCTGCTATCTTGCATTCGAAAGCTTTTTAAACAAGCTTCCAAATCCTCCTTTTAGATTTATCATGGAAATTTTTCCCATAAAAATGTTCGGACTTAAAAGTGGGCAAAAAAGTTTTGATTTTTTACTTACCTTTATATATTGATAAAACATGGAAAAAAATTATTAATCCATTAAAAAAAAATGCACCTCAAAGTACTCGCCAGAACCTACTAAATGAGTTCCTTGAGGCTTCTATAGGACGAATATTTCCTTGGTAACAAAATTTTTAATTTTATGTAATTTTTTCTCTGGTTAGGCAAATAAACATGGATGGCAGTGTAGTTCCCAGAAAAAAAAAATTAATTGCAATCTTACAGCAACAACAGAGAAACAGGATGATAAAAAAGATCTGTCAGAGAAATTGAATTAAAAAAATAGTTTGTATGGAAATTAAAAACCTTTCTTTATGATTCTGATAATTATGAGAAATATGATTGTGAAAAGTAACCTAGATTAAGTACCTGGAAAGTAGAAGGTAACAAACAGCCAAAAGTAAAAATTTGTTCTATTTTATTATAAATTAATCAAATTCTCAGACTTCGAAGTTGAACTATAAATTTACTAATAAAATTTTCAAATATAATTTTATTAACAAATCTTCTAGAAAACCATTTTCCATATTCACTTTGGAATATCAGTGCCATATAAAGCTTGGAAAAAGGCTAAGCAGGCTAAAACTAAATATAATTTTATAAGGGAGTTAGTCAACTATTTATAGGAACCAGAAGAGGGTGTTTGCTTATCTATTAAAATAGTCAGGACAATTGATGCTTCATACAGAGTTCCTATTGAACCTAAGAAATTTAAGGCTCTGAAATGTAATAAATGTTGGAAATATTATTTCAAAAAACTATTTAGTTCTTTATATCTTAATTTAAGTTCAATGCATGAGGGTACATTCAATATTTATTGGAAAATAAAATAATAACTAATAATAGTACAACTAAAGAAAGAAATATATAATTCAGAAGTATGGTGGGAAGTATGGTGGGAGGAAAATAAAGATGAGGTTCATGAAAATGATGAATATGGGACTGATGGAGACGATGAAGATAACATTAATTACAAAGAAGATATTGAATAAAACACTAAAAAAAATTAAAAATAAAGAAAATATGGCAATAATGGAAATAGTAGCTTCACATTAAACAATTAAAAAATAAATATTTTATTTATAGATGTAAATATATCCAAATTTGTAAACATTTTACTAATTTATAATAAATGTATTTATTTTTCTACTTTTATAATGTATGTACATAAAATGTATATATTTTACTGTAGTTTACATTAAGTATTATCAAGAGTTATAAGAGATATATTTATTGAAAACTGTGATGAAGGCCAAATATGTACATCAATAATAAGTTATTATAATAGATTAATAAAATAAGTAAATACTTTATTCCTAAGAAGATAAGATAATTTAATTATTAACCTGGAATTACTTTAATATAAATAATGTCCTTTAATCAAAATAATGCTATTAATTTTTTTTGAAAAATAATTATTCAACTCTTAATGTTATTAACTGAAAATTATATTACTGTAGAAACAATATTATATTATTCATCAAAAAAATTTTTAAAATAATAAAGCCAATACATTAACGTTAATATCTAAAAGTAATAAAGTAATTTGTTTGCGTAAAAATATGGATTTTAAAATAACGTTATTCATTAGAAATGATGTTACTTTCTATTAAAAAATAACGTTATTCGTTAGGAAAGACTATTCCCAGAAAAATTACGTTATCTTCTTGTAGAAATGCATAAAAATAACGTTATTTATTCAAAATTACGTTGCCATCGAATTAAAACTAACGTTATTTGTTACAGAAATTATGTTATTTCCTGTAGAAATAACGATATCTAGTAGAAATGATGTTATTTTTTCTAGGGAAATAACGTTATTTTTTGTTACTAATCCTAACATGTCAAATGACGTTATATGTAACGTTTTTTACGTCATATTTTGCAATAGGGAGACTATGCGACCGGTTTGACTAATATGACATTTCGAAAATCAAGCCAAAATTTTGTTTTCTTTGTTGCCCAGAGTTGTTTAAAATAACTTCCAAAAAATAATAGAGTAGAATAATACATCAACAACATGTAAATTTAAATGGTGTAAATAATATATAATAGTAATAATAACATATAATAGTAAAATAATATATAAGTCATAATATATAATTTTGATGATAATAATCGTTAATATAGTGTAATTATATTCTACATATATTATATCAATTTCTCACACATAGTACTCATGTCATTAAGATAAGCATTGATTTTTTAGTAGTAAATAGAAACCAACCATAATTACCTCAGTAGCCACATTTTGTTTAGTTTGAATGTTTGGAACACCATACTCATGCTAACAAGTACTTTACATCATAAGGAATAAATTTGGTTGCAAAGATGCAGATTGGACTTTTGTTAAAGATATATTTAGAGACAATCAAATAAAAGTTTCTTCGAATGATGAAACTGGATTGCTAATGCCCATAAAAATTAATATTGTTAACAATGCTTACAATTGGATAAAATCCCTATGGTGTCAAATTCAGAACTAGAGACAATTTCTTTATTTGTTAAATAAATTATCAACTCTTTGATAAATAGAAGGATTTTTTCTGTTTATACTTTTGACTGTTTCTATATTACACATTGGTATGAATGCTTTAACTATTATTTCAATAAATATTGAAATAAAATATGCTTTCCAAGAAGTCAACCTAATTATTGAAATTTTCAGTTATATATTTTTATAGAACAGTTTGATAAATCATAAGCTTAAATTTTACGTTATAAATACTAAATAAATTTTATAGTCATTAAATAAAGCTCAACTTGGTTGGAAACAGATTTAGCTCTTGGAAAAATATTATTTTGAATAAAATTAAAAAAGACTGATCTTGTACAGTTCAAATAAATCTGCAATTTTATAATAAATTTTAGTACATATGCATAAAAAATAAAAATTAATGGTAAAATCATTAAACTACTAGTCAAATGTTAAAAATATAAGAAAAATTATCAGAATATTAAAATCGACATAACTAAATGTTCAATTGAAATTCAACTTAAAATATGTGGAAAAGTATTATTTAAAAACAAATTCTTCTAAAAAATTTACATAAAGAATTATCGTATGCTTATTTCTTAATATCACACCAAAGCATAAACTCGTTTTGTTACATATAAAAATAAGAAAATTAAAAATTTACTTGTGTTCGTTCAATTCAGCTTCCATTTCTGTCAACTTATTAGCCAGGATCCTTTGTTCACTTCTAAGAACTTGAAAGCCAGAATAAACTTCTTCATTAGACATTGACTGCTTCGGGGGCACATTATTCATATTTTCACTTAATTTTCACCAACGATTCTGAAAGCTAACGATATGGTGATACAGTTAATAACACGACTCTGGCAAGGGCAAAGTTGCGCAATTCTGTCAAGAAGCTTCCAGCAGACCTCACAATTTTCGTAAAACGGGAACGAAAATTGTGAGGTCTGAAGTCAATTGTTGAAAGCTTTTTGGCAGAATCGCCTAACCTTTAGATCTTAAAAGTTAGCACCTAGAATCAATTTTTTCAAGATAATCGATAAACTAATCATACCGTTAGATATTTCGTCAATATAGTAACAACTTTTCTGTTTGCCGTTTATTAGTTCATCCACTGGAAATCCTTTGAAATTAGTCTTGAGTGCTGGCTTTAGTATCCAAACCAAAGTTGCAGTAAAACCTAGAAAAAATTGTTTAAAAAAAATTCATACGTAAACCAATCGTTAGTTCGTAAGAGGAAATAACGGCACCCATAATAAGATCACGAAGAATTTGATTATTTAAGCAACTAAAAATAAAAAACTGTTTCGACCTATAACTACTGGCTCCCGTCCAAACGCTGAAGCGGTGTGCATGCTTCCCGAATTACCCCAGGTACCTCCGCTCTTATTGTTTACTACAGCTGTTTGACTTTAATGCATCAGATCAAACTTTATAGTAACATAAGTAACGAGTACCTATTATCTAATCAATGGGCAGATGGAAATTAAAAAAGTTACGCTTTGCGTATTAATTAATCAAGTACGTAAGGAATTGTTCAACGGTGGCACTGGTAACTAAGTAGCACACGGCACACCGGTTTTCGTTTGAACACTTTTTTAACTTAAAAATGTAGCTACCCTGCTAAAAAAGTTCCATTCATTCCTATTCGGGATCATTCATATTCAATGGTAATCAATGGACTGAATGGTTCAATGTTCCGATGACGATTGAAACTGAATGATTTTCAATAATACTTCATGGTAAGCATAACTAATAGTAAAACTTACCATTAAATTTAATAGAATTCAATCTTTCTGAATAATACTTTGTATTGGAATGGTTTCAATGATAATCTATCCAATTGCATTGAATGAATATTAATCACAGTTCAATAAAATAATTAATCAATGATATTTTATTGTATATCTTTCTATGAATTTTAATAATTTTTCGATACAATAATTGTCCAATCATATTTTATTGAATCATATTATATGGATATTAATTTTTATCCAATTACACGGTTGGTCAATAATATTTTATAGAATGGTTTTCCATATATGCCAATATGAGCAAAAGCAATACTGTAACTTTAGCAATATTTCATTTAATAGTTTTTTTTTTAATCTTAATGATTGGTCAATATAAAAATAACCCAATCGCATTCAATGAGGTATAGTATTCTATAATTTCTTATGAAAGGCAAACAAAAAAATTTCAAATATTTTCAATTGAATATTTTTTAATGAAACTAATGATTGGTAAATGCAAGTAAAACTCAATCGTATTCTATTGAGAAGTTGTTTGTATAGTTTTGAATAATCCTTCATTCTACAAACTTATCAAATATAATTTTATTCTATAATTTTTCATTAGATGATGAAAGAAAAAATTTCCATAATTGAATGATTTTTTATAAATTTGAATAGTTGTTCGATACTATAATTGAAGAATCGTATCTTATGCTTTGGATATTATAATTTTATATAGGTCATGAATGAAAAAACTCCGTATATGATTTGATTGAATAGACTTTTATCAATTTTAATAGTTTTTAAGTAAAAACATATTCGAATATAATTTTTAATGGGTATTCGATTTTTTTTCAATTGTAAATAAATGGTTTTTTATGTACATCAACAAATTACCAAAGTTGACATGAACATTATTATTGGATTTCAAATGAATTGGGCATTTTGCATAAATATCTAGCATTTCTAACGTCTACCAAAATTATTTTGCAATCTATTTCACCAATGGGTTTGATGAGATCAATCTCGTTTTCGCTTTGAATTTTTCGGATATGAGTCACTCCTTCAAATGGATATTCTGGAAATACGTTGTACGTTTGTACAACAATGTATGAATCGTCGTCATGAGTATTGAGTTGTTACGACTTTCGTATTCAAAACTATTGAAAATTATTCAACGCCACAAAAATCCTTGATTAAGCAATAACAAACTATTCATACCTATTCAATGAGATTAATTTCTGTTATTGCATAATATTGGATTGATGTGATCTTCACATTAAAAACTATTCAAAATTATTCAACGTCAGAAAAAAAGTTGATCATGCGATAAAAGACCATTAATACCCATTCAATTAGATTGATATTTTCTATTGCATATTATTGAAATGTTAGGACTTTCATATTCAAAACTATTGAAAATTATTCAACGATACGAGACTTGAATGTTGCAAAAACAAACCATTGATATCAATTCAATCAAATTGATTATCGCATTCGAATGGTTTCAAATCTTCGATTTGACCACGAATTTTACCATTGAAATCGATTGGGTAACATACATGAGAAATTTCATTGAATCCTATTGAAAACCATTACTTTAATAGTATATTTTTCTATTGATAATGATTAATCTCGATTAGGAATCAATAGTAATCTATATTATTGGAACCAATAGTATTTAATATCTTAACATTTCTTGTTGGATGAGGAATCATATTCAATGGTCATTTGGAGTGTTCAGATCGAAGATTGAAAACCATTCAGAAATTCTTCAATGGTTTTCAATGGAACTTTTATAGCAGGGTATTGTGATAAATTCATACTAATATTTATTAATTAATCAAGTCCATAGTTAATCAAGGCAGATACGAGCATACAAGTATGGGAATAGGTGCTTCTAAAGAATCAGTCACTGATTAACATAAATCGGTCTTAATTATCACGACGGTCTTGTTTATTAGTCTACGAATCGTTTATAAATTGAGGCCTACACAGCGATGATAATTACTAGCGCGTGACATCTTGTCCGCTGCCACATGTGCATGTACGCAGTGGTCGTTCGCATACAGATGAGCTATAATCCGCGCACAACTATATCGTCGCGGTTTCCGAGCTCGCGTAAGACAACGACAGATCGCGCGGGAGTATTGTGCGAAGCTGGCGTGATATCTGCGATTTCGTCGCTTCAGGTCTCGATCCTCAATCGGAGAAGGAGGCTTCTCTTGTCCTTCCTGTGGTAACCGGTATACTTATAGGAGGTTACTGTCACGTCGATACTAAGAGAACGCACGTGACGAACCATGATAAATAATCAAGTGTCACGAGAACACACATGACAGGTTATGGTAACTAATCGGGTATCGGTAATTTAACTTCCTAACGTATCAATTGTCAACCCTCCCGGGAAGATTTGTAAATCTATCTAGCGAGAGAGATTAGGCTAAGCACATTCTCCATAATATTTCCGCGAATATTACTCACCGTATATTGATTTGGTAAAAATAAGGGAAGGGGCACATCGGCCTATGGTATAAAAAGGCTGGATAAGGCTCCGCGATTACTCATACTCATACTGATTCTCACTCACTCAGTAAAAGAGTAGTAACTTAGTAATTCTGTAATTTAGTTATTGTATTATTTCTAAGTTTCGCTACCAGGCTACTCAGAACCGGAATTCTACTCTGCCAAGCATTATAAACTTGTCTTTTCAACAATAAATCTTAATCAAGTGCAAACACCTGAGAGTGTTTCATAAAATCTCTTCTGAAGCCCAGTCCTAACAAGGTAAGAAGCTAAGTTATGTACCTAAACACACCACATATAATAAAGGCGCTATCCCTTTAACCAACCTCTGCTTACCTCCTGACTAAGATCCAACCTTTACCAACACGACAGTATTTTAAACATTATTACGTCTAGCCATAACACCTCCTACTCTAGGCACAACAATTGGGGGCCCCTCATTCTTGGTAATTAGGATCATATCGCAAAAAAAATTACAATGGTCGAAACACCTTACGAATGAAAACTAATTATACTCAAAATACTAATTAAAAAAATTAGCGAAATAGAACTAAACTTTGCGACAAACAGAGAACCTACGTTTTCAGAATGTCCCGCATTTCTGCATCAAAGATATCCACCAGCCCAAACAAAGCAAATTACCCGAGTCAAGGAATTACAAAGATTAAAATTTAATTTACAAGATTACATTGATGCAAGCCCATTGGATTTTCTATGCAAAGATGACCTAATATTCGACATCCCCATTGAAATGACTAGCAAAAATTAAAATCCAGCATTTCTCCTTAACGCTATTACAGATATAAACTTCGAAAAATTAAAATTAGATAAAACTGAAATTCCTGTACTTGAACTCATTGAAAATCAAACAGCTTACGAAACAGCAACTGAAAATTCAGACACGTACAACGTGCACACTACAAACGTGTCTATGACTAATACACCATCCGCTTTCAAATCACCAGAAATGACTCATAATAAAACGAAAAAAGTTGATTTCACTCCAATTAACTCGACATTATGTCACAACAAACAAAATTAATTTTGCAAGCAGCCTAGTTACCACGTATTATACGCCGGGGACTTTCAGAACAGGACTAATGAATTCCACACAAAACATAGTATCACCAATAAAAAATTTTAGCTTGAAAGATGCTGTGAATTTAGTACCTAAATACGATAGATTCAACATACCTTTACACTTATTTATCGACGATTGTCGGGAGACACGCAGCATAGTCAATCAATGAAAATGATCTCGCCAAGTTAATTAAAATCAAACTAAGCGGTGAGGCACTCAAAAGCGTGAAATGAAAAACGTTTGATAATGTAGAACAAATGATTAAATTTTCAGACCTACTGTTCGAATCAGCAAAAACTTGTAATTAATTAACAGGCGAATTAGCAACCTTAAAACAAAAACGTGGTGAGAATGTAGTCACATTTTCTAATAAAGTAAAAACAGTGGCTGACAAACTTTTTGAAGCAGCATTAAGGGAAAATCGAAACTATGCTGGATTTAAAAGCCAACTTGAAAAA